TTTGCTTTCTTTCTGAGGTTGCTAGGTGAGTTAAGCAGGGAAACTTCAATCTGGAAAGCAACAACTACTACCACGACTAACTGAAAACAAAAAAGGTATGTCTAAGACTCCATTTAGTTAATGCAATAGACAACTAGTAGTTGGACCAGCTGGTGTGAATGTTTGCAGTGGTTCTTTGTGTGTTGTATAGTACTGTCTTCATAGTTTTGATATGTGGTTTCTGTGATATGAGTGGTAATAACTGAAAAGTTAACCATTTATACTTTTAATTGAATGAATCTGGTTTGTGGTACTTGGTAGCTGAGTTGGTGTAAATTGTATTTACACCTGATTTGACTTTGGTAGTTGATAGTTACCTAAACACTTACTACTAAACCACTTCTCCTTTTAAACAATCTTCTAATTATCTCTTCTTTGCACATTATTCTTTCCAAACCAATCTGTTTTACCATCTTCCATCTCTTCTTTCATCTCTTTTCTTTAGTGATTGATATGGATTCACATAATGGTCCATACAATCAGTCTCCCGGTTCCTATGTTAGCCTTCAAAACTTTCCTTATCATTCATTTTCTCTTGCTGGAGCTTCAGAAATCCCTTCTTTTAGTTCACAGCCGTCTCTTGTGCCAAGTCACCCTGAAATCCTTTCATTTAGTTCTAAACCGGCTCATGCTCAAACTCAACCTGAAGAATCAGCACTTGACCGTAGGGCTAAAAGGCTATGGTCAAACCCAGATGACTTGGTCCTCATCAGTGGGTGGCTTAACACATCGAAGGATGTTATTGTAGGCAATGACCAAAGGTCAGGAACCTTTTGGAGGCGTATAACTGAGTACTATGCTTCAAGTGACCATGTACGCAAAGGAGCTGAGCCAAGAGACAGTGACAGTTGTAAGCAAAGGTGGGGCAAAATAAGTCGAGATGTGAGCAAGTTCTGCGGAGCATATGCTTTTGCATTGGACGCGAAAGCTAGTGGTCAAAATGATAATGACATTCTGCAGTTGGCTCACCAAACCTACTCAAAAAACAACAACAAGAAGAAGTTCACGCTTGAGCATGCCTGGACAGTTCTAAGATATGAACCTAAATGGTGTAGTTGGATTGATATGAATCCTACTAGCAAGACAACCAGCAACAAAAGAAAGGCTGATGATGCTTCACCATCTGTTGGATCTACTATAGGTGAGGAAGAGAGTAGGCCTCCGGGTATTAAAGCAATGAAGAAATTGAGGAAGAAGGGTAAAGAGAAGTCTGCACCACCTGCAGAGGATAACAAAATCTTGGAGGCCAAGCAGAAGGATATGGAGCTAAAGAAACAGCTCCAACAGATGTCCCTTCTTGACACACTGATTGCCAAGAAGGAAACACTTGATGAAGAGGAAATAGCTCTTAAGAAGAAGCTAATTGCTGAAGTTTACAATTCTCTTTAGATTTCAAGTTTATTTATGCACTATTTCCTGTTTTAATGATGTATGAATCAAGATCAATTTGTGTTGTTTTAATGATGTATGAATCAATATCTATGTTTTATTAACTAAGTTTGTACCTTCTGTGTTTGCTGTTTTAAACCAAGTTCTCTATATGAATCAATTTCTTATGTCTTTGTCTTGTTTTAAGTAAGTATTCAGAAAACATATGTCTTGTATTATCACATATCTAACTTGTTTTCCCATGTCTTTTTGGTTTCAGGTTGAATAATTATCCCAACCAAGACCAACATTATAATTTTATACTTTTTCTGTTTCTAAATGATGTATTTTTTAGAATTTTTACATAACTCTAAACCAATAATATTCAATTATTCTTTTTGAAGTTTACAATTCATTAATAATAACTAATAAATATTGTATAGAAAACTTATAAAAATCTATTTTTTTGTAACAATTTTTTTTATAGAAAACAGATTAATAAAGAACAAAAAAGTATATCTTTGTGGTCATTATTTTTTTAACGAAAAATATTAATAAATTCACGTTGGATTTTTGTGTCACGGGTATACTTGAGTTTTTGTATGGCATCAATCGTATACTTGAGTGTTTTGTATCACGGGTATACTTGAGTTTTTGTATTACATAAATTCACGTTGGATTTTTGTGTCACGGTTTAACTTGTCACAAATGATAAAGAAGTCACGGGTTACCAAAATATCAAATAATTGACACAACACTTCATTTCCTATATATATGTATGTCTTTCCTTTGACGATCGCACAGACAATTCTCTCACAAACCCATTCCCTTATCTTCTTTATATTTCAAGTTGATTATATCCAAAAAAACAAGTATCTCGTCCTAAAATTCAAGTGTCTCCTACGAACACTCTTTCTTTTTTTTTTCGGTTTTTATGGCATCTTCTTCAAATAATTTTCATTATCATTATGACTCTCATAATGATGAATTTGACAAATATCTTCAAGAGCAATTCGATAATCTATGTGATACTACTGAAGAGGATATTCCGGTCGAAAGGGATAAACGTACATACATCGATAGAAATCGGGAAGTAGGGCACAAGCAGTTGATGGCCGATTATTTCTGTGATAATCCGAGGTACACGGAGACGCTATTTCGCAGACGATTTCGAATGAACAAGTCCTTGTTCTTGCGTATTGTCAATCGTCTCACTGAAGAAGTTATGTATTTTAAACCAAAAAAAGATGCAACCTTCCGAGATGGGTTATCACCGCTACAAAAATGTACTGCAGCAATTCGACTATTAGCATATGGGTGTTCGGCAGACTCAATTGACGAGTATGTACGACTTGGTGAAACGACGGCTCGGGAATGTTTATTACATTTTGTTGTCGGAATAGTTGACTTGTTCGGCACTGAATACCTACGACGACCCACACTAGAGGATCTTCAAAGGTTACTCTTTATTGGAGAACACCGCGGTTTTCCAGGGATGGTTGGAAGCATCGACTGTATGCATTGGAGGTGGAAGAATTGCCCAACCGCTTTGAAAGGAATGTATTCAAGAGGAACCGGAAAACCAACAATTGTTTTGGAGGCGGTAGCTTCACAAGATCTCTGGATATGGCACGCGTTTTTTGGAGCGCCAGGTACTTGTAACGATTTAAATGTTCTTGATCAATCCCCAGTATTTAATGACATTATTCACGGTCGAGCTCCTGAAGTGAGCTACTATGTCAACGGAAGGGAGTATAATTTGGCTTACTATCTTACGGATGGGATTTATCCCGAGTGGGCGACATTTGTTAAATCCATCCCAGGACCACAACACCCCAAACATAGATTGTTTGCAAAACGTCAAGAAGGTGCACGGAAAGATGTTGAACGTGCATTTGGAGTCCTGCAAGCTAGATTCGCCATGATTAAAAATCCAGCTCTTTTATGGAAGAAAGGTAAATTAGCATACATTATGAGAGCATGTCTCATACTCCATAATATGATTGTCGAAAATGAACGACATTCATACACTCTTGAAGAAGAATTAGACCAAGGAGAAGAAACAGAAACCATCCCCGTTTTTAAAGGTTCAGTCAATATGCCTACCAATCTCGACGGTTTTGGTGATAGACACACAAGAATTCGTGATCGACAAGCACATCACCAATTAAAAGAGGATTTGATTGAGCATTTATGGGCTAAATTTGGACATCTTCCAAATGATGATTAAAGTTTTTAAATTTTGTATTAATTAAATAAAATGTTTGTGTGTTTTAAGTAATAAATATGTTTGTTTGTTTTTATGTTTAAAATTTAATTGTTATTTTTAATTTAAAAAAAATGTTTTATGAATTACTTAATTATATTATTAAACTATTACTAAGAAACAGGTTCTACCTATAACACCAAGTTTCTAAACTTTGAACTCTTACATTATTTTATTAATAAAACTCCACTAACACACACCCATCCACTTTTACCATTGTGGATAACACCAAGTTTCTAAACTTCAACCCTTACATTATTTTATTAATAAAACTCCACTAACACACACCCATCCACTTTTACCATTGTGGATGCCCTTACAAAAGTTTACTCATAAGCATATGATAAGTACAAGATCCTTACAAAAGTATATTTACTTTATTAGTTAGTATAGTTCTTCTAAATAAAAGATCCTTACAAAAGTATATTTTCTGCATTAGTTAGTATAGCTTTTTTTAAAAAAAAAATAAGGGAAGACAATAGACGGGCCTATACGGGCCTTTATAAATTTGGCGGGTTTAAACGGGTATGAACCTAAACAGGCTTTAATTTTTTTTGTTAAACGGGTTTGGGCCTTAACAGGCCGGGTAGCCCGTTTTAACATTACTAAGCTTATCTATACTTTTTCTTGTTAACAAATCATATTTTTCTTACATTATTTTTAATATGTATATGAATTTCCGTCTTTACAATTTTTTTTCGAGAGGTATCACTCTTTCTATCTTTTTGTAAGCACTCAATGTCTTTGTTTCATTCTTTATCCTAATTAGCATATTTACCATACACAAACTCAACCAGACTCTTTTAGAAGCTTAATATAAAAACTACTCTCACAAAAACAATAAAAATAACATTCAGTTTCACATGACAAACAATCTAATAAACAGAACCATAATATATTAAGTGGTGGTGTAGACCTCTAAGTAACATAGAGGTTGATCTCCACAGGATATAACATCTAGGATGGAGGAAAGTTAGATCCATTAGGTGTGGATGTAATGTCAAATGAGCCACACACAACAAAAAGCGATAGTAACAATTGATGATGAGAGTTAAATTTTTTTAAAAAATGTTATATATATATATATATATATATATATATATATATATATATATATATATAACATTCAAGCATAAAAACATGGTTATGACTTATGAGCGACAAAAGTATAGATCCGTCACTCCGCCTTCACACTAACGTAGCATCTCCGTGACTCTTGAAAATTTACACAAACGTCATCATGCCCATTACAATCATGAATCATCAAAATTTGTAACTTTTGATCCGATTTCATATATGTTGTGATCTTCACACTACAAAAAAACTGTACATTCATAGCACCTAATAATAGCACGATTTTCACATTTGCTATCTAAGATGAGTTTGTAATTTGCTTACCATATGATAGCATTTGATAAACGCTATAATAGAGTTTCAATAAGCGGGAAGTAAAATCACTTATACCGCCAAACACTTAGCCAAATTTACTAAAAAGCAAAAACTTTCTTCTTCTCTTAACACTTTGTCGCGACTCTCTTCTTCTCTTAACACTTAGAGAAACGAAACCCTTAAACCTTCAAATCTCCAAATCTATCGCCGTCGCCAATTCCGGCGGAATCTCTCGCCGTCGCCGCTCTCTGAAACACCGCCGGATCTAATCTCAGAAGAGCTGATCCAATTGAAGGTGATTTTATCCGACTCTCTCTCTCTCTTTCACTTTACCCAGTTGTCGAAACCCTTAAATCTTCAATTGGAGCTCAAATCTGTTTATGTGTTTCGATTTCCTGATGAAATTGGAACAATAAACGGGTTTTTTTATGACATGCAAGAGATTTGTTTATGTGTTTATGTGTTTGCTCAAACATGTTTAGCTCAAGTCTGTTTATGTGTTTATGTGTTTGCTCAGATCTGTTTATGTGTTTTGATTTGGTCATTATAAGTCTCTACGATTTCGTTTTAGCTTAGTATGTTAACATTTGCAATGAAAGAACAAAAATTTTGGTTATGTATCTGATTTTAGAACATTTGTTTAAGAACCGTTCAAACAAGCATTGCGGTTTCTTGTTCTTTTTTGTCAGAAAGAACTTGCTTTACTTCCCTTATTTCCTTCTCCAGTTGTTCAATCTGTATAATTTAAGGTTTACTTTTTAGTTTAGTCGAAATACACATTTTTGGTCAGTATTAAGAGATACAAGAGTGATTGAAAATTGTTTTCTTTTGAGGCCAGACTCTGGTTGATTGACATACCAAATCCAATTGAGTTTCTTGTTAAAAAACTCGTAAAACACGCTATGAGTCTGTTTGAGATATGAGTTTTATTTTCTGTATCCGAGCAAAGCTTCTCCACCATTTTACATATAGGTTGTGTATATAAGTTAAGAACATGTTTTGATGATTATAGTTTGGTTGTGTATCTTGGATATTTCATTACTTTGGTTTTGTATATGAAAGTTTGAATATATATATATCGTTTTTATATGAGATCAAACAGTAATATCTTATACTCTTTCTCTACTTATGTTTTGCAGGTGTTGATCAGTGCAATAAAGGAATTTTGAAGCTGTTCTTTATCTCCAATCACAGTACAGGTTAAGAGCTTCTATCTTTGTCTCTTATGATGATTATTTGTATTACAGTTTCATTACTCTGAATATATAACTCGTTTTTATGACTTTTAAAACTTAAACTCTTTCTCTAATTATGTTTTGCAAGTGTTGCTGAGTGCACTAAAGGAATTTTGAAGGTTTTCTTTATCTCTAATCACATGACAGGTTAATAGCTTCTTTCTTTGTCTCTTATGATGAGTCTTTGTACTGCAGTTTCATTACTTTGACTATATAAAACGTTTTTAATGACTTTTAAAATTTAACTCTTTCTCTAATTATGTTTTGCAAGTGTTGCTGAGTGCACTAAAGGAATTTTGAAGGTTTTCTTTATCTCTAATCACAGGACAGGTTAATAGCTTCTTTCTTTGTCTCTTATGATGAGTCTTTGTACTGCAGTTTCATTACTTTGACTATATAAATCGTTTTTAATGACTTTTAAAACTTAAACTCTTTCTCTAATTATGTTTTGCAAGTGTTGCTGAGTGCACTAAAGGAATTTTGAAGCTTTTCTTTATCTCTAATCACAGGACAGGTTAATAGCTTCTTTCTTTGTCTCTTATGATGAGTCTTTGTACTGCAGTTTCATTACTTTGACTATATAAATCGTTTTAAGATCAAACTGTAATATGAATTTTAAAACTTATACTCTTTCTCCAATTATGTTTTGCAAGTGTTGCTGAGTGCATTGATGGAAGTTTAAAGATTTTATTTATCTCCATTGACAGGACAGGTTAGTAGCTTCTTTCTTTTTGTCTCTTTTGTTTGTTTATTTTTGTCTGGTTGGTTTGTTGTTAATGCTGTTAGGTTGTTTCAAACATACTGTTTTGTTTTGAGTTTGTTTATATTGTTTTAATATATGTGATATGGTTGTTTCTCTCTAGCTCTAAAAGAACGTAGGTATATTTGTGTCTGAATTGTTTTAAAGTACAAAGTTATTTTTTGATGTGTCTGATTTTTTCAATAACTCTGTTCTTATATGATGTTAAGGATACTAAAGGTTTTAAATTAAGCTTATATCATATAATGCTGGACAAAGATTGGGTGCATCTTTGCAGGTATTAAATTTAATTATATAGATGTTAAGTTTTCAATAGGGGTTTGTAGATTTTTTTTATTTCTTTCTTTTTTATTTTTTTTCTCTTCATTCTTAAATGAAGAGCTGATCCAGCTTATCAAAGAGGGGCTTCAGATTTTGTAAGAGTTGTGTCTGCGGCTTTGGTAGATGGTGATATGATTGTATGTCCTTGCATCGACTGTCGTAATATAGATCGTCACATAGGAAGTGTTGTAGTTGACCATCTTGTTAGAAGAGGTATGGATGAGGATTATAAGCGGCGGTCTGATTGGTATCATCATGGAGAGTTAAATTCTGGGGTTGAAGGTGACAGTAAATTCAGTCAAATGGATGAGATATATGGGTTATATCAGTTTGGATTATTAATTCTCATCAGTTTAACAAGTATTTTGAATGATCTATTCTTTTATTTGTTTAGAAAGAAGAGAGACGAGAGAAATCAGATCCTTCTGATGTGACAAGAACTGATGTGTGGGTGAGATCGCGTACTAGAAAGGATGGGACACCAGTGAATACTGATGCAGCTGAAAAAATTGTAAGTTATAAGTTATGTACATCGTGAATTTGGTTTTCAGTATAGATTTAGATTTTTAGAATTGTTTTTGATATGTAACTAAATTTGCAGAAAAAGGCAGCTGAACTTGTTAATTCTGTTGAAACAAATGAAGGACAAGATACACTTGTCGAACTATTAGGACCTGATAATCCCGGTCGAATGAGGGCAATGGGGAGAAATATGACTAAGACGAAATTAGCTTGTTTCGAAGTTAATCACAAGTGTATGGTTGAAATGGAAAAGAAACAAATTCATCTCCAGGACAAGGTTAATGAGCTAGAAAATAAACTTGGTAAACTGCAGAACCAGGTAATGCACTTTTGTATTTTTTGTACATTAAGCTGTTGGGTTGTATCATAAATTAAAAGTTAATATTTTTTCTGGCATGTCACAGGGACAAGAAACTGAAGTTGGTGAAAACTCTAGATCTGCTGCAGGGGTAAGTGATTAATAATCCATGAAATTGATTTCTTTATAACTATAAAGTCTGACTTGTTTTTTTCTACTCTAAATCTGCATAGAGTGTTAACAAAAAAGCACAACCAAAGTGTATTTTGATTGACTGGGCTGGTGATGATGCGAATGTTGCTGAGGGACGTATTATATCTACTGATCCAGAGGATGTTGTGAATGGGACACGTTTAGGTCCTTTAGATTATAAAGTTTTGGTTGAGACTGCCACGGTACCAGAAGCATTCCTTTGGAGAAATGCTATGGGAATGTCAACAATTGAAGAATCTGTTGGGCATATGATTGCATGGCCTGCCACGAAGTGTGTTAGTCTAGAACAGGGGGTTCAGGAAGAAGACATGGCACCACTAGTAAAGTTTCTAACTTGTTCATTAATTAATAAGTTTATACAGATTGTTGATGATTTAAAATTCTGACATTGTTTTATGCGTTTAACAGGGCACAAGAGCCAATTCTTTGAACAAATGCAAACTACTTGATCTGTCTAACGATGATGTAGTTGTTGCTGAAGGCCGTTGGACCACGCAAGATCGTAAAGCTTTGGTGAATGGACTTTCACTCGGACCAAAGGCTGTAAAAGTGTTTGTTGATGTGGTACATGAAGCCAATACATTCATATGGAGGCCTACAATGGATGTTACATACATAGAAGACTGTTTAATGTCCTTTGTAGCATGGCCTTTCAACAAAGTTGTCTTCGAAAACAACCCAGATGGAACAGGCCGGTTATCTCCTATTCAGAATTATGCATCTACTCAAACAGCTCATGGAAAATCAGCATCATCAAGTCAAAAATCCACAGCAACAGGTTCTAAATCGCAACCAGCTCATGGAAGATCAGCATCAGCAAGTAAAAAATCCGCAGCAACAGGTTCTAAGTCGCATATGCAACCAATCTCAGCATCATGTGAGAAGTCTCTAACAACAGTTCCAAAATCTAATGCAGTGGAAACTCAAACAGCTGCACCGTCCCGGCCTCTTCGAAGATCTCCGGTAACTTATTTTATATGTTCTAAAGTTGATTATGGTTCTGTCTCATTTTACTGTAGTAATTGGTTAATATGGTCAACTTGTCAGCGGAAAAAAGGAGCTATACAGGAAAATCAGAAGTGTATGTTACTGGATATTAAAGAAAGGAAGCAAGTTGTTGCTGAAGGACGGGTGATTTCAACTGATCCAGAGAGACGTGTACACTGTGCTCCTTTGGGCCTTAATGCTGCGCAAGTTTTGGTAGATATAGTCCAGGTAGATGATGCAGCGGTTTGGA